CGCGCGTCTGTTTGTTTTTTTATCTGTTGACTGCAGGTTTTGAAGAGTGTTGTTGCCCAATTCAATGCCTCCCAACTTATCACGATGCGTCAAGAGGTAAGGGCATTTTATGTCTCTATTATAGTTAGGTGGTGCAAACATATGAGCTTTGTCTTGAAAAAGAAATGAAACTAAGTGTGCACATTTTAATGGCATTTTTTTTTTAGTTTTTTTTAGTTTTAATTTTATTTTTTTCTTGCTTATACTCTGTATTATGACTATCAAATGTTAAATAATAATAATCAAATACTACATGTAATCCTATGTTTTAGGTCAGTCTGCTAATCAGAAGACAATTGACAGATCGTGCCAAGGACTTCTATATTATTTTGGATGATGTGTCTATTGTAAGTTTTGCACCTTTACTATTATAATTATCTAGTGACACACATTACTGCAGGCTATGTCTGAATACATGAACATGTACACATATGTCTCACTCTATGAGTTATCCTTTAGCCAGCAAATGGCCAGATCTTTGTGCATGATAACAGAGTAAACTGCTTTGAATTCATAAGTTGTCAATGATTGAGTCCTGTGATTTTTTTAGACTGACTTAAGTTTTGGACGAGAGTACACAGCAGCCATTGAGGCTAAGCAAGTTGGTAAGAGTGGATTTTTGAAGTTACTTTTTTTCACACCAAGTCTAAAGCCTAATCAAGCAGTACCATTCTTTCTGATGGTACTACAGTGTATTTTGTTATGCTGTATGAATTTGTTGTAACTCTTATCTGCAGGTGAACTCCTGGTGTGTGATCATGACCACTTTAAATTATTTTCATGTGGTTTGATGAGCACAGAGTGTTATGAAGTAATGCTAACTTTTGGATAAAACTTAGCATGAGGCCATTCAATGAATTCAAAGTTTTATTTGTGTCCAGAGAAAAACCGTGCAACACTTTATCTTCTTCCTAATACATTAGGGGTAAGCATTATTTTTTGGTTTGAACATGTAGGTTTTGGAAAAGATGTTGTTAGGTTGCATTATAGGCAGTGTGTGGCCATTCATAGACCAAGCCATGGACATTAAATGAGTTAATTTCTTTTTTAATCGCAGCTCAGCAAGAAGCACAGCGAGCTCAGTTTGTGGTAGAAAAGGCAATACAGGAACGCCAGCAGAAAATTGTACAAGCTGAAGGAGAGGCTAAAGCAGCAATTCTGATATCCTTAAATTTCAAATGATGCTGTTCATATTAACAGTGATCAAATGGAATTTATTTTTCACAGAATTTTTTCTTCATTTTCTTTTTATATATCAAGCCCAGAATTTTTTGTAAGTCCTCTGCATCACCCCGCCCTGGCCCAGCCTACAGCTTAAACACAGACATTCTCTTTGACACATTTCAAGTTCCTTGGAGATTCTTGATCTGTTTCATACATTAAATTTGCACTGCTGCGCTGCAATGATAAACAGCACTGGTACAATTTGTCGTACAAGCTAACTAATATAGTACTAAAAATTGCTGCCTCTGTTGTTTCCCTTGACTGTGGTCACCTTGGTAATGCGTTGAAGAGTAATCCAGGTTATCTGAAACTGAGAAGGATACGGGCAGCACAATCTGTTTCCAATACGGTTAGATTAATAATAAAAATAATGATAATGATAATGATGATGATGATGATGAT